GAGCTTAACCCTAGCAGTGGCCGATCGTCATCTGGTGACGATCTGACGTTGATGCTTAGAATGGCCAAAGTCGTCTGGTGACGATCTGGGCCGAAATTTTTTTTGCGGTAAAAAAAACACTTACAATCAACTCAGATGAGAATGATATATATACCATTCGAAAGATCACATTCTGAACTTTCATTTTATTACATAAACAAACCCTGTAGCAGGTATATAACAATGTCACGACGATTAGAAATCAAATGAATTTTTGGCGCGGCACGACTTTTGCAGCCGACACTTGGGAACTGGCAAAACACGTCTTGTTTGGCATTACCCTGCTCGGATAATTTTCGTCGTAGGATGTTGCAGGTGGTACCACTGGATAGCCATTGATTTTATCTTCATTGTGGTAGTAATATTTAGAACGAAATATTGATTGCACAACCGGTACGATTTTATGAAAACAGCTGTTTTTGAAATTTTTAACAAATGGCCAATGGTTGTCAGATGACGATGTGGAAAATACGAATTACATACAGTGTAATTTATTATTACTAGTCATATAGTATGTCATTTTGAAGAGGAAGAAATATAGATTCAGAGAGTGGCAGCCCTGCACTCAGGGTTATTTCTGTATGCTCGCATGAAGACGACAGAAGTGAGTCATTACTGCTACAGTCTGTCAGCTGTCTTGTATTCGCCATTGTTTGTTTGTGTTGTTGCCAGTAAGTGTTCGTTCTCGTGTTATCCGCGATTTATTACTAAATACGTTATTAGTTCGTAGTGTTAGTGTTAGTGAAGTTTGTGTGTGTGTATAACAGTAGTCTTCATGCATTTTATTATGCATAAATATTACTGAATTGTGTAAAATAGTGTTCATAAAAGGTTGTATTTTGTTAGCATCATGTCCAAAATTGACGGTTCTGACATTCAGAGATTGTTGTAGGCCTACGAGACGGACCTTAGTTCGCCGTACTATATATGCTATATAATGATATACCCAAGGTGTTATACATTTTTATAAAGGTAAATGAATGCACTACAGCATGTTTATATTGGTTTGGGGGTAAAAAATTTGGTAAAAAAGTTATATACTAAATACTGTACACTCCATTTTCTCAAAATGCGCAAAAAGTTCAAAACATTCTTAAATTGGCACATAATCATAGGTGAAGATAACTTTTTACCATTATACTTATGACTTTTTTGGATTCCTTACTTCATTAGCTTTAGAAATATGTACATATCATCATTAGTTTATACATATATTACATGATGTTTCACAACAAAAACAAACACTGTATAGTTTACACTGTTTTGCGGATTTGCGGTTATTGGATTATTATGTCCCTGTTACGCAAAAAAAAAAAAAATTCTAACATGTTATACATTTTTATGTAGGTAATTGAATACACTACAAGATTATTATGTTGGTTTGAAGTAAAAAAATTTGCTACAAAAGTTGTATACCAAATACTGTGAATTTTCTTTTCTCACGAAACCGCTAAAATATAAAAACATTATTTTATATACATATGTTTATAGATAAAAAAATATTTTTACCATAAACTTTATGACTTTTTTTGATTCCTTCTTACTTCATTAGCTTTACAAACATGTATATTTCATTATTAGTATACACATATATTATATAACTTTATACAACATAAACTAACACTATACAGTTTTCGCCCCAAAAACTTATAGGTAAACAAAAAAATATTTTCCTAACATGTTATATATTTCTATGTAGGAAATTAGATTGTCTACAAAATGTATATAATGAATTTCCCATATAAATCCGTAGGAAAAAAAATACCGAGGCCGCTTTTGAAATTTCACAAAAAAAAAAAAAAAATTTTATTTTTTTCACTTTACCAATAAAATACACTGTCTAAATCATTATGATATTACTATTTCTAGATTCTCCTGTTCTTTCCGAACAAAATGAATGCGAGATTGGTTAGGTTTACTTGTACGGTTGAATTTTTACGAATTTTCAAAAAAAGGTCTGCAAAATCGCCAAAATGGGTTGGCCATTCCCCACTTCTAACATTGGCCACTGCTATTGTAAAAAAAAAAAATAATTTAGTAAATCAAAGTGTTTTTGTACAATGATTGGTTACGGAGAAAATTTAAAAAATTGGTAATTTAAAATTCCCATGTTATTTTCATGGAGAATATTGTAAAATGTTGTAGTTGGCTTGTTTATGGATATTGTTATAAAATGTAATATTGTTGTTATATAATTCAATATTATCCTCTTTGTAAAGATATGATTTGTATTTCAGATATATAAACAGATGTTTAATTATGATAATTAAAAAGAAACATGAATGAAAACAGTGTGTTAAAAAAGAAATAGTAAATCTTTCCAACTAACTTGAGACTGATTTTATTTAACTTTATTAAGAGAATTGGTTCATATTTGAAGTTAGTTTACATTTTTGGCGACCCTGCCAGGATTATTAGGTGAATAAATAATTTTGAAGTATTAATTATTGTATAAAACCTGAAGGTCAATTAATAAAAAAATGGCAGATGACCTAATACGTTTAAACAGGAAGAGAAGACAGCTTTGGCGACAATTTTTGAAAGCACATAATAATTTTGAAAATGCTTTAAACGAAGATTTGCCAAAAGAAGAACTCCTGGTAGCCATTGAAACACAATATTTAAGTATGGAGGCGACATGTGACAATCTCTTCACTATGGATGAACAGATACAAGACGTGATGCTAGGCGAGAACACTTCTGACGCTGACCTGGACGCAGAGTACAACGCCACGTTAGAGTTTCGAGACAAGTGGTTCAACATGAAGGCCCAATACAAAAACCTGGTAAAAACCTCTCCCTGCAGCGATCGAGGTGAGTTGAACCCCTCTAAACATGAAACCAAAATTCGTTTACCAAAAATTGAACTAAAAAAATTTGACGGGCAGTTAAAAAATTGGATTGGATTTTGGTCACAGTTTTCGAAAATCCATAATGTTCAGAGTCTGCGTTATGAGGATAAATTTGAATATTTAATTCAATCAATGACACCAGGTTCCGCGGCTCTAAAACTGATCGAGGGTTTTCCTTTGTCTCAGGAAAACTATTATAAAGCAATCGAGCTCTTGAAATCTCGATTTGGCAAAGACGAATTACTAATCGAGTATTATGTAAGGGAGCTGTTGACCTTAGTGTTAAGTAAAAGTAGCCAGGTGTCCGTCACTAACCTCTATGATGGACTTGAAGTGCAGCTGCGGGCTCTTGAAACTTTGGGCGTCATTAAGGAAAAATATGCCGCTATGTTATTCCCTCTTGTTAAAACTTCAATACCAGAGAATATTTTTAAAGTTTGGGAAAGGTATCGAGTAGGCAAAAATGTGACCACAATGGAGCCTGGTAATTGCTTACGAGAGCTATAGTTGTTCCTAAAGACGGAATTCGAGGCAGAGGAGAGATTTAAGTTGAGAGAAGGATGTTGTGGGGTAGTTAGTAGTGAAAATAACAAGGTAAATGAAGATTCACAGAAACAACAACGAACTAGTAAGCCTAAGACACCTTCAGCAGCAGTTCTTGTATCGTCTGATGGGCATCAGGATCCTAAAATGAGCACAGGTATGTACCCTAATAAGAATCTTTGCGCATTTTGTGGAAAATCAACTCACAATTCATCTGATTGTTTTTCCATCTTTGATAAGACAACCTCAGAAAGAACCGAGATTGCAGAGAAAAAGGGGTTGTGTCTTAAATGTTTGAAGAAGGGACACTTAGCAAGTAAGTGCAGGATTCAGGTAAAATGTCTCATCTGTATAGGTAAACATCTGGCAATCTTATGTCAAAAGATCCCTACCACTAATGAATCCAAGCCGAGTGGTGAGGACAAGTCAAAACAAACTCCGGTTCAAAGTACTAGTTCATTTTCGACTTTGAACAACAAAAGTAAAACTACCTTACAAACTTTGTAAGCCTTTGTTAATGTAAATGGGGAAGCGAAAAGGGTTAGAATCTTATTTGACTCAGGTTCACAGAAAAGCTTCATTTCTAGTCTATGTGTATCTAAATTGAGTCTCCCAAGCAATGGCAAGGTTCTGATCCAGCAAGAAGTCTTTGGAGGTAAACAAACCGGTCCTAAACACCTATGAATTAAATTTGAGCTCAATAAATGAGAACTTTCGGACAAGTGTCAACGTTGTAGAACAACATGTTATCTGTAACCATGTTCCTAAGTTTTGTAATTACAGCTTGATCACTCGTTTAGATAAAGAAAACATATTTCTGACTGATGTTTCTTCTTGTGACAGGGACGACTTCACTGGTATTGATGTCTTATTAGGAGCTGACGTTTGGACACAGATCATCACTCCTGAGTTTCATAAGGTAAATGAGCAACTTGTAGCTGTAATAACTCGATTGGGCTGGACAACTGTTGGCACATCTGACGAGGAATCTTCTTTTGTCTCCTCCATGTTTGTGGCTTTCCAATCTTCACAAGATATTAGGCAATTTTGGGAACTAGAGACAATGGGTATATAATGGATCCGAGTGTCAAGCAACAGAAGGAGGAGAGAGATAGAGATGTTTTAGCGTTCTTCAAAGACACTGTCGATGTGGATGGACGCTACGAGGTAAAACTACCTTGGATTGAAGACCATCCCCCTCTGGATACGAACCGTGAAGTAGCCAAAAAACGTCTGTTGTCAACAGATATATGTGTATCAAACTTGGCGGATTTATTTATTTCATACTAAGCTATTGATATTTTAATAAAAAACACACTTTATTAGTTTCCCTGTAGCAGCTGACCTAGGTACTCGTTAAACATAAACGTTAATTTAATAGATTAATTGAAAATCAATCCAGGCAAATGGAAATTTGCTTAGTCGGCAGGTTTGCTGCAGCGGGGGTATTTTTATTTTTTAACCCTCAAAATTTTGCCGCCCCTAAAATTTGCCTAGTCCGCCTATTCGGAAATATGTCCCTATGGCATTCTGTTGTACAAATGCAATACGTGTGTTTACCATTACCTGTATCTTCTCTGGAGAAAGTGGAGGACAAAATAAAGAATGGACGTTCTCCTTGAGAAACCCCAGGGAGCTTGTGACAATCACATGGTCTGCCACATATTCTTCTCCGTTTTCACAAAATACCTAAAAATAAACCATTCAATTGAAAAGAATTTTTAAAAGTAACATTGATCTATATATTATAGGCCTGAAGCTAATAAGGATAACAAACTTTTGAGAAAACCGTAAGCAGCATATATATCAAACGTATACTTGAACGATAGGTGTCAATGAGAATTCAGTTTTAGTATCAGTTTTTTTTTTATAAACCCTCTCCTAAGGGCATAAATCTCAATTAAAGGGTTGTATTTATTCACATCTATAGATACGAGGGCTATCTATAAAGTAGCAGACGTTTTGAAATAAACCATATATACAAAATGAAAAAGCTAATTTTTACAATATACATTTTGTTTTGAAGCTTAACTTTCAGGCTATTTTTTGACATAACCTCCATTTAAATTAAGACATTTATCATAGCGTAATACAAGCTTTTCAATGCCCTCTTTAAAGAAAGAGCCTGTCAGTTCAAATACTGGTTTACACCAGCATGGAATTCAGCGCTAGTGTCAAAGCGTTGTGTAGCAAGCCACATCTTCATCGCTGGGAACAGATGATGGTCGCTCTGTGCCAAATCTGGGCTGTACGGCAGATGATTGAATACTTTCCATCCAAAACCATCCAATAGCTCTCGGGTACGATTGGCCGTGTGTGGACTGGCGTTGTCATGAAAAACAAAAGTTTTCGCCAAGTTTTCCACGACGCTAGTTTTTGATCCCATGTCTTAATTTTCTGAGTGTTTAGCATACCTCTCTGAGTTTATTGATTGGCCACGTTCAAGAAAGTTTACCAAAATCACTCCCAGAGTGTCCCAAAACACAGTAGCCATGATTTTTCTTGCCGATGGTGTCTGCCAACACTTTATCGGTTTCTTGGAGGAATGTGTGTGACCCCATTCCATTGACTGCCTTTTTGTTTGACAGAATGTTAAATTGGGCTAAAAATAAAGTTTTAAATAGCCCTCATAACTTTAGAACGAATCAAGATTTTTTGTAACAGTTTGTGGCATTGTAATCAGGGTAAAAATCTAGTTCAAAATAATGGGTCACAACCCCACCTTTACATTTGAAAAAAAATATTTTGCATCCAATATGGCGGATCCAAGATGGCGGCCAGAAATGACCACCTTGTCAAAATGGAGTACTTACTACCCAAGAATGTTTGGAAGTGGTCTGGGATTAATATTTGAAAAAATGTAGAAAAAGGTTGGGGGGGAGGGGACATTTAAAACTCGCCCTGTATGTTGTACTGGGATATCTATCCTGACACATAGATAATTTGATTCTGAGTTTGTTACAATAATTTCTTTTCCATTTGAGCTTTTTGGGGACTTATGTCCCTACAAGCCACTAGTCTATATATATATAAATATATAAAAATTTGAAAAAATGGTGTTTTTGGCCTCTGGGGACATCAAAATGAAAAAGTAAATCGGTCCCGGGCCTAGGTCTTACCATGCCACCTACGGTTATAAAAATTAAAAGAAATGTAACAGAAAATATTTATGATTCTATAGATTAGAAATTCTATCACTTTTGTAATTCAATTATTGGATTTTAATTGTATAGAAAAAAATCTAGAAGATAGGTTAGTTAAGCTTAGACAGGAAATGGCTGAATCGGGGAGCTTCACACCTGCGTCATCGGCTAGCACTGGCGAACTTCAGCAGGATAACGCCCTAGAAACGATCTCCAAGCCAGTGCCCACCATTACTGCCGTTGCCCCTCAGAACATCGTTCCTCACTTCGATGGTAAAACTCCCTGGGAGGACTACATGCACTACGGGGTGATGCGTTAGCTGTTCTGCATGCTATGCCAATGGCGGAGAGGAAGAATTTCACAGAATTAGTGAGAAGATTGGACATGCGGTTTGGGAATCGACATATGGACCAGCTCTACCGATCACAGTTGCGGAACCGGATCCAGAAGCCCAGTGAGTCACTCCAGGAGTTTGAAGCCGACATTGCTCGCCTGGTGAGAAACGCCTATCCATCGGTCACGGATGATGTCTACGAGAGTTTGGCGGTGGATAAATTCCTAGACGGTCTACGTGAACCTGAGACTCAACAGGCAGTGAAGCTCGCCAGACCAAAGACCCTGAGTGACGCACTGACACAGGCACTGGAGTTCGAGGCTGTACGACAGTCGGTGAGGGGCCAGGCTCGAGTCCTCGTGGCAGACGCAGAACCTACAACTCCACTGGACATCGAGGAGCTAGTAAAGAGAGTGCTGGAGGCACTAAAAACTCGTCGCCGGCAGATACGCTGTTGGAGCTGCGGACAGATGGGACATCCCCGGAGTAAATGTCCTTCGACCACATCAGAACTGAAGCAGGAAAACTAAGGAGGGTTGATGGAAAGGGGCAACCGTCAGCCCGCGATTGGAAAGCCCCGAGGAAAAGTGTTAAAGTTGCTTCACTGGGAAGTCAGTCGAGCATTTTCTACGTCGACGGAAAGGTGAACGGGCGTCTCCAAAGCTGTCTTCTGGACACTGGGGCGACTATGACCATCCTGAATCCAAACACTGTGTCGACGGAAGATATTTCACCAACATCATGGTCTCTACGTACAGCTACAGGTCAGCTGGCTCAGGTCTATGGACAGACGGTTGCTACCTTCCACATCGGCGGCTGCGTGTTTCAACACTGCGCACTTGTTGTCGACATAGACGAGGACGTGATTTTGGGAACCGATATAATGGTGAAGTACGGACTGAAGTTGGACATGTCAAGAGGACTAGTGACTCTCGGAGACGAAGATGTCATACTTCGGCGTGGAAAAGATATCTCTGCGCGCGTACTTCTACTGGAAGACACAACGCTACCAGCGCGCAGCCAGGTCATTGTTCAAGCCACAGTCGAAGGAGATTGGACTAGTGGGCAAAGTGTTCTGCTGGAGCCAGCAAGTGACAGTGAATCCCAGCTTGGACGTGGTGTCTTTGTCGCCAGATCCTTATTTAACTTAGGACATGAAAATCCGGTGCAACTGATGAACTTGAATGGTTTTCCTGTTACGATAAAAAGAGGAGTAATGATCGGAACGTGCGTGGCTGTTAATTCGGTGGTACGTCAACTAAAATAATGCCCGCCATCTCCAAATGGATTACCAAAGGAGCTAGAAGATTTCGTGGAGAGCACCTGTCAGGAGCTGACGCATCAACAAAGTGCAAAAATAAAGGACTTTATTACTAGATGGCAAGATGTCTTTGAGTACGGAAGTGGTCAGAATTTGTCCTTAAGCTGAGACAGAACATCCAGACATTATGCCAGGCAAGCAAACCAACAACTGTACCACTGACACTCTGCTCATCTCAATCGTCTTCGCAGCAACTACAACCACTATCTAGTTCTCCACAGCATCACTCACAACCAACTTCAACACAACTTCCTGCTGTTGGTCTTATCAGCCCCCGGTTGGTTCCAGGCGGTCTCAGCTATAACGAAGTTGTTAAATCAAAACCATCGAGTGTTGTGAAAAAGCAGAGCAAATGTGTGGTGTCAAGTGTTGAGGGTGATCCATCAGTGTTAGAGTTAGATTCCTGTTTAGATGATAGTTCTCCTTTAATTTTAAACTGATTCATTCTGACAATGACCTTGTACCTGCTAAATTAAGTAACTTAGATAATTCTTTGCACAAAACAAATTCACTGGCTCAAAATAACGAACTAAAAGGTTTATGTAATCAATCTTTTTATTCAACTAACTGTGATTTAATAATGCATTACAATTGTCAAGGTTTAAATTTAACAAAAATTTCAGCTCTCAATTTATTTTTATCTGAGGCCAATTTGAATATTAAAGCTATATCTTTTAATGAACATTGGTTAGATCATAATTCAGCCTCTCTGTTAAATACAATCAATAATTTTAAATTGGCTAGTTCTTATATAAGAGAAAGTGGCTGTAGGGGCGGATCTTGCATATTAGTGGATAAGAACTGTAAATATGTAACAATAACACAGTTTTCCAATTTAAATGAAGACTTTATTTTTGAATGTTCTGCTATTGAACTTGTGGATTTTAATTCAATTTTAATTTCTATTTATACAGTACCAAATTTCAACATAAGTAAACAGTTTTTAGATAGACTTGAAATTCTATTTTTGATAATACAGAAAAAATTTAAAAAAAATACTGTTTTTGTAACTGGAGATTTTAACATAGACATTTTAACGAATGACACATTCACAAGTAGATTTAAAGAAATTGTCGAATGTAATGGTTTTTGTTTTCAATTTGAGGAGCCAACTAGAATAACAAATACTTCATTTACTTGTTTGGATAATTTTATCACACCCAAAACGTTTAGTTGCCATTACAGGTTAAACACTGAGTTAGGTCTTTCTGATCACAATGCTATATTTATAAACCTCCCTAAGCTAGCCAAGTGTAAAACCATCAAGAATACTTCTAGTTCTTTTAAGAAAAGAATCATCTCTGATAGAAATACAGATGAATTTTGCAAATATCTACAGAGCACTAATAATAATTTTGTATTTAACCCCGCTTTAAACCCCAATGAAAATTACAATAGTTTTTTGAGAAGTTTTTTATTATCTTTCAATCATATATTTCCTGTTAAATCACTAAAAAAGAATGCTAAAACTAATAAATCTACTCTGAATTGGGTGACCCAAGGTATAAGAATTTCCAGTAAGAGGAAACGAGAATTGCACTTGGAAGCCAAGTTTAGTAGAAACCAAGAGTTTTTATCCTATGTAAAGCAATACAAAAAAATATTTAATAAAGTTGTAAAAAATTCAAAAATTCTCTCAAATAATAACCTAATTAGAAAATCTGAAAACAAGTCTAAGGCAGCTTGGCAAATTGTTAACAATGAACTGGGTTTAAACCGTACTCAAAGATACAAAATTATTTTAAAAGATGATACAAACCAAACCACTGTTGATAATCCTGATGATGTAGCTAAGCTTTTTAACAGTTTTTTCTGTAATACAGTTATTAATCTGAATGTAAAAAAGGCTTCTGTCAATGGTGTTCATTCGTCTGTAAAATCATACTGCAG